TATTGAGTAACTGTTAATACTTATTTGGCAGTTTTTTATGTTGCCCGAATTATTTGGGTTTATGCTGTTATCTTCTTCTTCTCCAACGTTTTTTAAACCTATACATCTTCATTTGTTGTTTACTGTTTATGTTATTTAAGTTATTTTAGTCACTATTTTTTAAATATAATTTATAATTTATAATTTATTAAATTTCTTACTGTATGTTAAGGGGCCTAACATTTTCAGTGTTATTGAATTTCTTACTTAATTTCAGTCACTGTTTATATTGTTTTCTAGTTTATGCTCTTATTTCAGTCATTGATTTATGTTGTTTTCTGTTTACGTTGCTATTCAAATATGAAATTCAGTCATTGAATTTCACTGAATTTTTGTCTTTCTTCTTCTTTCATTTTATCTTTCTTCTTCTTTCATTTTATCTTTCTTCTGTTCTTCTCTTTATTTCATCGCAATTTTCCTTCTTTGGTAGTTTGTGTAAATCCTTTAACAATTTAGTTGACAGCCAAAGACATTGCTGAGTCACATTATAATTACTCATGATATATGTTGTTAGTAATAGAAGAAACATACATGAACCTAATTTTTATATATGATTATTTTATCTACATACTTATTTGTTCTTCTCTGGTGATGATGATGTATTTTTCTTTTATTATTGTCATGTATTGGGTAACTCTTAAATGGTGATTCAGCAGTTGTTGCTATTATCCGAGTTATTTGGGATCTATGCCACTGTCATCTATTGAATAACTGTTAATACTGATTTAGTTCTTTTTTTGTTGTCTAAATTTCTTGAGATTTTCATTATTATGTTGTTCTTCTCCAACCCTTTCTTCATGTTCTCCCTATGGTGGTTGACAACTCTAGGAATTAGAGTTATTTTAGGCATTTCTAGACTTATAGTTGGCTCATCCAAAGGCTTAGTTGTTGATTTTTTGCTTTATTTGTTCAACTTTTGGTTCTTATGATGCACTCTACTAAGATTTATTTGTGTGTTATTTCTGTGGTGTTTATGAAAAAAATTTAATCAAAGAAAGGGCTGATTTGTGTCTAAGAGGCGCTGTTGTGATCTGCAGGTTTTGTGAGGAAAAATGCTGCAGCATTGCTGCAGTAAAATATGGTAGTAGACACTTAGTGGAATGAGATCAGTGTAGTGCTTTGAAGGAAAAAGACAAACGCCCACAAGAGATAATTTTGTGCAAGGTCACTTTGAGCCATTAGCCTCTCACTAAGTGACACCTCAGCATCCTTTTTGGTGCCTTAAAGAAGAGTACATTTGAGAAGAAGAAAAAGGGGGGCGTCGTGAAGAAAAAAGAGAGGAGGGCAGAAAACACATATGAGGGAACGAGAGAGAAATAAGGCTTTATGCCATTTTTTATGAAGGGAAGAAAAGAAAAAAAAGGGAAGATTTGGTTTGTTCAATATAATCTCCTCCGTTAATTTTTGTTTATTGACTGGCCATCTTGAACAAAACATTGTGATTTCAATTTGTTGGAAAGTTGATTGGAATTTGACTAATATTGAACAATGTGAGTTTAGCTTAATTTCATAAAGAGAACTAGCTGATTTGCGAGTAGTATAGGAATATACCCTTGTCTCACAAACTCTATGTTTGGATTTTTCATAGGAATATGTTGAAATTTAAGTGAAGACGTGAAATCATAAGTAGATTGAAAGACTCTTGTGTAAATTCGTGTTCCAGGCTAACTGACAGCATTGCTGTCGCATACATATCCCAGGTTGCAGAAAAGGAGAAATTGAGTTATAGTCCTTCCACCATAGATTGATTTTTGTCTTTGTTAGCTGGGTATGCATTTTGCCATTTTTGGTTGTTTTAATTTTCTTTTATTGAATTTTTGTTAATCTATTCTTTCATTAAATTCGTTGTTTCAAGATTTCTACATTTTATTATCAGTGATTCAATATTCGTGGGATCGACACTCTTATTCACACTTTATTACTTGAGGCGACTCGTGCACTTGCGAGAACAAATCACGCAACAAGCTTTTGGCGCCGTTACCGGAGATTGAAATCATTGAGACTATTTGTAGAAGTCATTTTGTTTTTGCTATGGATTCTTTTGTTTGATTTTAGGATTAATTTGAACTTTTTTTTCCTTTTATTTTACTTTCTTTTGTTGTTGATTTGTTTGTTTTATTTCTCTTATTTGAGGTGCTTCACGATGTCCCGTCTGTAAGTGTTCTTGAATTTTGCTCAACATGAGTTTGAATCATTTTCTAGTACTTGGTTGAGATATAAAGATTTGCTAATTAGGTTTCCATATCATGGTTTTTCTAAGGAGTGTCAATTAGAAATTTTTATTAATGGCTTATGTAAGACATCAAAAATTTAGGTTGAGAGAGGAAATGGTACCACCTTTCTCTACCAACAATCTATTGACTTAGCCTATTTGATGTTAGAAGACATGGTGGAGTTTGATTTTTGGAACTTGAATTGTTCGAGGAACAACCAAGGTTGGGAGAACAATTCTAATGTTTTGGAGCCATGGTTTGTCACCCAACCTCAAGAAATGACGTTGGAATTGGAAACCGTTTTTGTTCAAAGTATAGAGAGGATGGATAAGCTGCTAGAGGAATTTAAAGAATTGAATGCATCCATCTTTACCATAGAGGATCAAAAGGGAAACATAAAAGATTACCTACTTAAGGAGCTGACATCAATAGAGGAATACATGAAGAGCAATATGGTGTTGTTTGATGATGATTATGTGGAACCACGGGAATTTGAGCCTATAGAGTATATTGAGCCTTGAGATGAAGATTTAGGAGCCCTTGATGTTGTTTTAGCTCAAAACTTAGCTAAGATGGATGCTCACGTAATCGAAACCGATTTACATCTTCTAAGTGATGTAACGTCCATTCCAAGCTATGAGTTCTGTGATGCTCAAATTGCAAGCATGGTTTTGGATAGCCAAGTGGAGCATGAATAGCATTTTGAAGGAATGTTAAAGGAATTCCTACAAGAGGGAGAAGTAAGAGAGTCGTTGGAGGATGTGGAAGCTCACGAGACCATTGATTTAAGCTCATCAATGGCACTATTGTATATAGCTCAAACGACCCGTTTTGGCCATCGTCACCAATAGAGGTGTGATAACTCTAGGAATTAGAGTTATTTTAGGCATTTCTAGGCTTATAGTTGGCTCATCTAAAAGTTTAGTTGTTGATTTTCTGCTTTATTTGTTCAACTTTTGGTTCTTGTGATGCACTCTGCTAAGATTTACTTATGTGCTATTTATGTGGTGTTTATGAAGAAAATTTAATCAAAGAAAGGGCTGATTTGAGTCTAAGAGGTGTTGTTGTGATCTGTAGGTTTTGTGAGGAAAAATACTGCAGCATTACTGCAGTAAAAATCAACACAGTGCTTTGAAGGAAAAAAGACAAACGCCCACAAGTGATAATTCTATACAAGGTCATTTTGAGCCATTAGTCTCTCACCAAGTGACACCTCAACATCCTTTTGGTGCCCTAAAGAAGAGTATATCTGAGAAGAAGAAAAAGGGGGGCGTCGTGAAGAAAAAAGAGACGAGGGCAGAAAACACATATGAGGGAATGATAGAGAAAATAAGGCTTTATGCCATTTTTTGTGAAGGGAAGAAAAGAAAAAAAAAGGGAAGACAATACCGAGAAAGTAGCAGAGAGCAACATAATGCAAAAACAGACCAGAGAGAAAGCGAGGACGAGTACCGGAGGAGACGAAAATTAAAGCTGAAATATGAAGGAGTGAAGCTACAAGAAGAGACTATCGGGTTTCATTTTGTCTTTACTGTTATTCTCCTAATTTTGGTTTATTCTTCCTCTTCCTCTGTACTTGAATGATGGCTACTTATTTTGTTGCATTTAACAAGACAATTATGAGCTAAATTTTCTTGGCTGAGATGATAAAGTACCCATATCTGTAATTAAAGTTAGGTATGCTCACTTTGCTATATTCATGCTGATTTGGTTTGTTCAATATAATCTCTTCCGTTAATTTTTGTTTATCGACTGGTCATCTTGAACAAAATACTGTGATTTCAATTTGCTTGAAAGTTGATTGGAATTAGACTAATATTACATAGTGTGAGTTTAACTTAATTTCATAAAGAGAACTAGCTGATTTACGAGTAGTATAGGAATATATACTTGTCTCACATAGCCCAATTAAAACCCAAACTTAATACAACCTCTATGTTTAGATTTTTCATAGAAATATGTTGAAATTTAAGTAAAGAGGTGAAATCATAAGTAGATTGAAAGACTCTTGTGTAAATTCGTGTTTCAGGCTAACTGATAGCATTGTTGTAGCAAAGATGTAGCATATATCCAAGTTGAAGAAAAGGAGAAATTGAGTTCTAGTCCTTTCGCCATAGATTGATTTTTGTCTTTGTTAACTGAGTCTGTATTTTGCCATTTTTGGTTATTTTAATTTTCTTTTAGTGATATTTTATTAATCTATTCTTTCATTAATTTGTTGTTTCAAGACTTCTACATTTTGTTATCGGTGATTCTATTCACACTTTATTACTTACGGCGACTTGTGTACTTGCGAGCACAAATCACGTAATAGTAGTCAATCTCTTTTGTCCCTCAATTTCCTTCTGTGATGTTCAGATTTTAAACATTTTCAGCCTTTATTCTTTTATCATTATGTTTTTCGTCAGTTGCAGTTAGGTAATATTATACGTTACATATTAAAATTATTATTTCATTAAATATAAACAAATTTATTATTATTCATCATAATTAAGTAATACCTAATTTTTCTTCTTTTTCGTATTTTTTTATTGCAGCTCAAAAAAAAAAAAACAAGAAAGAAAAATAAATACGAATAAATATGTATATATACACACAAATATATAAATAAATATGTACTCTTATCGTGTACCATAAAAAAAATTTATAAAATATGTAACTGTTAAATATATAAATATATATCCGTGCTGGGTATTTCTACTGAAGTCTATACAGAATCGCTCCTCTTTAAATAACCTTTTACAAAAACCCATCACCCTACAACCCCACCGATTAACCCTTGTGAAAAAAAAAAAAACCCCTTTCATATTCTCTTCCACGGCGACGCCGGTCACGGGAGAAAGCGTTATTGAGGCGGCGGGGAGGCAGCGAGCTTTCAACCATGGACCTGGACGACCTCGACGCGCCGAGCCAGGTTCCCTCTCGAGTCTCCAGGTTCGCGCCCAAATTCTCCAAGCTCAAACCCAAATCCAAGTCCGAATTGGCCTCGGCTCAGGAATCCCTAGGCTCGGTCCTTCCCAAGACCGAGACCGGTCAGACGGCGCCGAAACCCGAGCCGCAGGAATTCGAGGCGAAGAAGGAGAAGGAAATCGATGCGAAGCCGAAACCCGAGAATGGCTTCGTGAAAATGGAGGTTGATTCCGCGGCCGGAGCCAAGGAAGAACCGGAAGAAAACGATTCCATGGAAGTGGAAGCCGAAGAGGATATGGTTGTTAGAGAAATTGACGTCTTTTTCAATCCTAAAATCGACGAAGGCACTCAGGTCTTGCCTGCCTTTTTTTTTTTTTTTTTTTTTTTTGCCTTTTCTCAATAGAAATGATAGTAAATTAATTGATCAATTAATTATTTTTATTTTTTTTCCTAGCAGCTATATGTTTTGCAATATCCTTTGAGGCCGAGTTGGCGTCCCTATGAATTGGACGAGCGATGTGAAGAGGTTTGATTTTGATATTTTAGGAACTCATTTCAGTGGGGTTTTTTTTTATTTTTATTTTTTATGATTGTGTTATGTAGGTTTTCTCTTGAGTTTGTAGGTTAGGGTGAAGCCTGCAAGTTCTGAAGTGGAAATGGATTTATCTTTGGATGTTGATTCCAAGAATTATGACCCAGATTGTGGTGACAGATTGAATATGACCAAGCAGGTATGTTCACATTTTACTGGATCATTGACTTCAAAAAAAAAAAAAAAAGAAGTGCAGTAAAGTTTACTTACTAACCAGTGGTTTCTTGGATGATGATAATATATATATAAACCTAGTGGTCTCTTGGATATTTAAGTGATCACTGCTGTATTTTAGTCCAATGTGTTAGATGTTAGTACACTTGAGTCTTGAAACTTGCCTAAATTACCATGAGATTCGTGCTTCTTGTTTTCTTACTAATTTTTGTTTTCAAGATGAAATTTGTTTACTTGGGATTAGATATTGTACTCATGGGGTGTTGGTTGGAATGGTTAGGCCTTTGGTTCACTCCCAGAAGGTCTGGGGTTTGAACTACCTCATGAGCACCTACGTGACAAATGTCATAATTTCTTGCCTTTCCAAGATTTTAGAGTTTGATTGAAGGCTTCAGTTTCAAACATGGGCTCACAAAGTGGGTTTGGGGGATTTCTCTATAAAAAAGAAAAAATATCAATTCTGTCCTATTTAATACTATTAAATTGTAGACTTAGAGTAGGCCTATTGTTGTATGTTGTGACATGGTGTCATTTTTTTGGCTTTCTTTTAGACTTTGTGTTGTTCATGGGACCAGCCTCGAGCTACTCGTTATGCTGTTGGGGTTTTGATGGGTAATAAGGTATGTATATCTCTTATCATGTTTATTTTTTTTTCTTTTTTTTCCTTGCTGTATTTGCCATTTGGATATCACGGAGTTGCATAACCATTGATGGAAGTACAGGCAGTCTTTTCTTTTTAATTTTTTCTATAGTATGATAGAATTTCGAGGCATAGATTTTAGACCTTTATTGTATCAATGTGCACGCACACATACAATGTATATCTGCATATAGAAATGAGCTAAATCTATAATGGCCACATTTCGCTGCTTGATGTTGGTTAGGTTTCTCCTTTACTGGTTTACCCAACTATTTTTTAAATTGTTTCTCCATTTTCTTCATCTTGCAGTTACACCTGAATCGTATTCATGCAGTTATGCAGCTTCGCCCATCACTTAAACATCTAATTTCTGCTGGGTCAAAAAAGAAAAATAATGTTAAAGTAGATGCAGAAGATACAGTTAAATTAGAAGAATCTAGTGGTAAAAAAGCTATTGGTTCATCAAAGAAGCAGGTTTGCCTTTTCATTTTTATGTCATGCAATTTTTTTCCATTTTGGTTTACTGTTAAATGCCTTTTTATGGTGCATTTCCGTGCAGTCTTAGCAACTTTTTATTTATTTATTTTCTTTTCTTTGGTGTAGATTAAGCAGGAGAACTCTTCTGTGAAGCAAAAAATTGCAGATGAGGAGGTATGATAATGTTGCTATTCATAATAAGCCCATTAGAATGGAGATAAATGAAATTCTAGCCATAATTCTTTTAAATTACTTTCCCTTCTTGTTGTGGAATAGATTTTTTGAGCAACCTAACCTCCACTTTTGATGCATTAAATTATGTCTCAATTTATTTTTTCAGTGGTCTTATAATGCTTTTTACCATTTTCCACTCCAATGTCTTCGTTTTTATGGCTATACACTTTGCTAGAGTCCTTTGCCTTGTCCCCTGATATGATTGTGCAAAACAAATACAAATCTGTTAATAATCTTTGTTTGCTCAATTTTCTCTATTTCTCAGGGCTGGGTTCCACTCAAGTATCATGGCTCAGAGTCCGAATCTTCAGTAAGATATTTACGAAAAATGGCCGTTCAGGAATCTTCGCCTTTACAATTTACAATGAGCCCGTATGTCTTTTATATACATGCATGCATGCATACATACATACATATATATATATATATGTAGTTATAAGTATCTTCTAGCTACGCCGCCTTGAACTCTTGTAATTTGTTTTTATTTATTTATTTTTTGAATTAAAGGGTGCTAATGATGTTTAGATTTTTATCCTTATTTGCAGGTATGACTACCTTAACTCCTTGTGTCCTGGATCCTGCAAGAATGGCAATGAGCCCAAAGGTCCCTCAAGGAGGTATGGTTCAATTGTGCCTTAGCTTGGTTTTTCCTTAACATGATGACTCTTATATGCCAATTTTAATTTGCATATTAAGGGTATGATTTATAGGCATCATTTTGGTCTTGATTTTAAGATATGCAATTATTCCAGGGCGTTGCTTTCACTACCTCTAGAAGAGCGTATTAAGTCATTACTCTGTGAGGTCTGTTCAATTTCCTTCCAATACATATAAAGCCAAATTTTCATTACAAGTAAACTCTTTTTTTTTTCTTTCTTTTTTTACCACAAGGCTTTTCAATCAGTTACTTCAATCTTCTTTCCTTCTATAATAATTCAGGCATTTTGTTTTAGGGACTTGCACCAGTTCACCGATTCAGTGTTCTTAAGCATTTTGCTCCTGATTGCACTACAAAAGAGATTCTGGATGCCCTTCAGAATCATGCGCTATTAGTGCAAGGTCTCTGGGCTCCCAAGAGTTCATTGCTATTAGGAACCAGTAAAGAGACTGGCGCTCAGCGGATCGCTAGGGATTACGTCCTCCTTTTATTTTGGAAGAATCCAGTTTTCAGCTTTTCATCTTTGCATTTTCCGTCATCTCTCAAAACCGCTGTGAATAAATTCCTGAACATTTTAGGTGTTGAAAGACCTTCAGTCAAAGATTGGAAATTTAAAGGGCAGACAGATATTTCTTTTATAAAAAACTATCCAGATGTTGTTAAGAAGCAAGAAGAGGTTTGGGGAGATTTAGAGAGAGATATAATGAATATGTTTGGAGATGGAAAATCTGGTCGCGGTCCAAAGAATACCAGCATTCCTAGCAGGCCCGTTAAACCCTTGAATTCTAATAAAGGTGTACCAAAAGGTACAAGTGAAGTAGTCGGTGGGAAAAAAATTCCAGATGATATTCGAGAAGTTCTATGTTCAAAGATCCTCCCAAAAGTCATTCAAGAACACAAGGTTTGCAGGTATTTATCCACTGCCTTGAGATTTTTGCTTCCCACCTAGTTTGAACTGTATGGTCCTGTCATTAGCAATAAAAAGAGTAGTTATTAGTGCCTTCATTCTTCTGAAACATTGTAATTAGTACAGTATCTGATATGGAGGGAAACAAAGTTTCACTGAGTGGTGAATTTGATTTTTAATATGATAATTCCTCCAGCATATAGTTGTTAGATTCGAGGAAGTTTCTCTTCCAATCAAAAAACGGTAGACGTTTCCTTCACAATCTTGTTGCATTTTGCCTAATAGTGGAATATATGTTATTTTTCTTGGCAGCTTACAGCTGATGTGTCAAGGTTTACGTGAACTAGCACTTAACAAGTTAAATCTTCCAAAGGCAGATGATAGATTTGCAAGGGCGGCAGCTTGTGGTACTGCTTCCCCTGGTGAGCTAGTAAAACTTCTTGATGAAACTGCGATAAACATTCATGGTCTATATGTCTTAAAGTCATCTGCAGAGCACCCACAATATGATCCATTCAGGTTTGTCTCCGGTTCTCTCTTTAAGATGGAATTAAAGAAAATGACCGTCTAGAATTGGATAATATTGCTGCTTCCTCAGTGTTGTTTTACTACGAATATGAGGTTGCCATGTTCATTTTATGTTTTACCTATCTTGAAAATTGTGTCCGCCTTCTTCAGGAACGTTGTGATTGATCTTCTACGCCAAAATGGACTTGCCGCGAAACTTAAAAAGGCTGAAATTTTTGATGCTGCTAAGAACGCTCTTAAAAGGGATGTAACTAGCAATGAATACAGCAAGGTTAGCTTCCATACGGTTTTCATTGTAACATTCTCTGTAAGGAACCTGGGTCCCGTTCATTTCAGCGATTCGAGTTTTGTTATAGTAAAAAGTTTTCAGAAACAGTCACATCTAACTTTTTTACTACAGTAAAAAGCTCTTACATAAAGTCACATCTCAACTCGAATTAAAAACTCAAATCAGCGAACTAAATGGCCCCTGGTAATTCTCAGCCAAACAACTCAGCACACACTCACACGGTTTCACAGCCAAGAAATGGAGAGGAATCAGGGAATCTTTACTTATTTCAATCAGCCTCACGTTACAATAGTCAATTGAAAGATAAACTTAGAGATTTCGAGTACTCCGGAACTCCTAGCCACCGGCAGTGGAAAACAGCACAGAGACAACAAACATAATTCGACTAGCTTCCCCTAACCTTTTCCTACCCCCCCACCTAAATACCCTGATTCCTACTTTCCTTTGCCATGTCACCTGCCTAGCCACTTCCTGAAATTACTCCTTGGCCCCCAACTCTAGTCTTTTTGACACCTTTACCTCTCTCAGTGTAAACATTTTTCAGTACGGGTCTGATAGTACCCCCCCCCCCCCCCCCCCCCCGCTAAT